AGTGGACTATTTTCAAATTTATGGGATCTTTACCATAAAAAAAAAGTGTATACTATAGACCAGCAATTCTCAACTGGTGATACGCAAGAGAAAAAAAGATGTTATGCAAAGAAACAAAGTATTTTAAACTGTTAAATTCCAAAATACCCCAACATTCTGCTAGAGTTTTTTTTCAACACTCGTAATTTTAAGCAATTTGAGCTTTGCAAGGTCAATAGCCCCTCATAGACTTTAACAAAACGATCTGTTTTTGTCTTCACAAATATTCTTTCAGCCATAGGCATAAAAAAATTGCCATAAATGATGCTTTTAAAAGCACTAATAGAAATTGATGTTGCATTCAAGAGGAAATAAAAATAAGTTCCTATAAGAAGATAATAAAGATAATAGTACCTCATTAATTCTTTTAGAGTTGATCAATTTATTAGCATACCCACACTTTATGTTGGCACCACTTCCAGACTCATAATGCTCCATTTTTAATTTAAAATAATTTTTTACGTTAACTTTCTGTCTCTCATAGCACGTATTTTGTCTTCTTATTGCTTTGTATTCCTTACTTTTCTAAACGCTTTGAAAATATTGTCATCTGTTTTCGAAATAATGTAATATATTGTGCATTTAAATATCCATGAAAAAATAATAAAACAAACCCAGCTTTCCAAAATGGAAAAATGGTTAGGATTGACTAAGCGGAAAAGCGATGATTCATCCAGGTGGTGTTTAGTGAATTGTGGTTGCCGCACTTAGCATATTTACTTGATATTTTTGGAATGGTAAATAAATTTAGGATAACAAGGACAAAGTGTTAATTTGTTTACCATTAGAGTTAAATTAACTCGAGCTAATAATCACATCATTGGATAATAATATTTTATTTTAAGCTTTTTACCATTTTTAGAAAGTTTCTAATCAAAAATCATTTGAAAATAAAAGAAGACTTAACATCCGACATTAAAAAATCATTGTTTTTTCATTGGTAAATAATTTCAACATGTATTTTCATGACGATCATGAAAAAGAAAATTGGATTAGAAATTCATTTTGTTCAAATGTTCTGAAATTTTATCTCATGAAGAAAAAGAACAACTGATAGAAATTTCCTGCGATCAAACTCTAACTGGACATTTCAAAAATAACACACTTGCTAACATTTCGCTGAACTGAAAAAAAGAATTTAAAGGCATTTTAAATAAAGCTACAGTACAAAGTCCGTAATCCGGACTGGTCAGGTCTTCGGCGATTCCGGATTTGAGATTTTTTTCGGATAATAGAGCATCAATTTAAATCTGGTAAGATGGCATGCAGAAATTATACAATTAAAAATATGAAATCATAATTTATAAAATAAAGAACAATTATGATCTAAAGAGTATCAAAATTTACAAAAAAAAAGCTTAATATTTATTTGTTTACTTTATTAAATATTTCTTTCAACGTAAGTTGTTTAAGATGCTTCCACAAAAAATTCAAAAAGTTCCTTTTTCTTTTTTCTTGTGTCATATACAGTGGACTTTCCAATGCCATACTCCTCGCATAATTTTGAGACGGATATGCCTTTATCCATTTTTTGCAGCAATTCCACTTTTTGTTTAATGGACATCGAAACATAGTTTTGCTTTGTAGATCCTTTGGCAACTCCAGAATATGAAACTTTTTTCGACATAATTGAAGGTTCAAGCTTATTTTTTATAAAATTACCGTAATAATAAATCTGCAAAAAATAATAAGCTGAATCAAATTAGAAGATCAGGGAGCAGCGCAGTCTACTACATTAAATGAAATGCCTTATAATAAGAAAAGATAATTTTAGCCCAGCTTAATAGCGTTCGTTTTGCATTATTGGCTGTGTATCACAAGATTGGCAACAAAAGCCAAGTTGTTTCGTTAAATTTTGTCTTGTTCCTATTGTGTACTGAATTAAGCCTGAATTGTATTACTGTAATTTTCGGAAGAAACGCCGTGGCATTTATGTGTTTAAAAACTTAAATTTTCAGCGGGTGCGGCGTTTCTACCCATGCGGCGTTTAGGTGCACTAAAAATAAAATATTTCCTATGATGGTCATTGTACATAGTTTGGATGGCCTTGTCATTGTGCATAGACTGGTGCTGTTCCCACACAAAAGACCACTCAGTTGCTTTTTGCGAACGTTATTTTGTTTACATTCTTTCCCTTGAACGGACCTACATGCCTTATTCACCCTAAACGAGATCTCAGAACAATAACATTCTTCCCCCTTTCAAATCAACATTCTCATCAGTTTGAATAGTCTCTCTCCTCTGCCATTCGATGAATCTTCCAGGACCCATCCTCTCCCCACCCCTGCCTTTTCTGCAATTTTTTTCAAAGGCGGACACGACTCCACCTGCCTCGCAATAACGAACTCTGACGTATTTCCCCTTCAGCATGAATGGATTTTTCTTGGCATTCTGCCAAATACAGATCCCATCAGTTTGGGTACAAGTACTTGTTGGATAGTTTTTAAGTAAGAAGGGAGCGGAAAAATTTTTGAAAATGTCTCTAAACGGCACAGAAGCTATACATTTCTTACCTTTAATTTATTTTTGAGTTATGGTTTCATTTCATGCATTTTTCTTAACTGGTATGTCATATATCAGGACTTAGGTTGAGTTTTTGCATCTATACGGCCCACGACGATGTCACGCGCAATTTAATCTATTGCGGCGTTTACGCTGATGCGGCGTTTCTGTGTAATTTTAATTTTTTTCCCGCCATTTTTCTCGAGTGCACCGTTTACGCTGATGCGGCCTTTCTTCCGGAAATTACAGTAGTTTAGTTATTTACTATACCTATGTTTATCTTCTGCACATGCTTCAAACTAATCCAAGTCCTGAATAAATAAACTCACATATACTTAAGGCTTTATCTAGGGCCGGTGCTCGATACCGCCTGGTGCAGTCTCTACGGGTCCTAAATTCTGCTACAAAGCGTTTTCCTAAGTTCTAAATTTTCACTGTGCCTAAACTTTGATCCCAGTGCTTTTCCTAAATCATAAAAACTTCTCATCCCTTAATTTTGCTGTTCGGTGCTTCCCCAAATTCCAAAAATTTAGTCTTCCGTAAATTCTGCCGTCCGGTGCCGACATATTGTGCGGCCACTTCTGGGTTTATGGTAAATAACAAACAAGTTATTCTTAATTAAATCAGCGCTAAATGTAATCTTTTGGCCTGCGAGTTTCATTAACAAAATCTATTTTTAGCATATGAAAATTAATTTTTGTTGAATTTTTCCTTGTCAGCATTTCTTAGAGCATTTAAAAATCTATAATCATCGTAATGTTAGCATAAAAGGTTGCCATACTCTTGTTATTCAATTACTAATATAAAAGAGTTTAGACATTGCAGCATGAGTTATTACTGAAGCTGTCATGAATTGATAAACATGCAGTGATTAAAGCAAAATATAATAAATAATGACTCGCCAGTTCTTTGTCGGAGATATAAAATAGGTGAAAGTTTTGGTTTGAGATGTATGCTAAGTAGATACTCAGCTACGGAGCCAAATTATTAATCTCACAAATTTACGCTTACATGATTGTTTTTCCATAATGAGGTTATTTAATGCTGAAGTGAAATTAAGAATCGGAATTTTTAAGTGAAAATCTCCACATGTTTTATTATGGAAGGAAAAATCAAATGTGTATTCTTTTTTAAATGCATGGGAATCGTCTGTAAATTTGCTTTTACAGTTTCATCAAGTACTGAATTGAAAACAATTCTGCAATTTTTAATCAGCAATTGGTGATATATTTAGAACTGTGCCTTTGAGGTCCGGATTTTAGATCATTCCGGATAATGGACGTCTGGATTTCAGACTTTGTACTGTATTAAATTTTTATTGCCATTTTGCACAAACTATTTAAATGAAAAAAGATTTTCTTCCATTTTATATTTAAAAAATATATACAGAAAAGTAAAAGTGGATCCTAATTTACAGTTAAAACTAAGTGAAAAAAGAGCACACATAAAGAAACTGATCTTTCTTAATTAGACCCAAATTTCATGCTAAAGTTTAAAATTAAAGAATCATAGCTTAAATTTTGATAATTAATATGGTAACCAATTTCTAACCTAATATTTTTTATGTGTGAATATTCAATACAAATAGCCAATAGGTTGCGCAAATGGAAAAAAAAAAATGTTGTTTTTTTTTTTTTTAATATTTCTACAGCAAAACTGAAAAATAATCATTGTAAAATGTAGTGGTGATACTAATGTTTTTTAGTATTTCTTTAGATGGTACGCATCTGTCAAAAGGCTGAGAACTGCTGCTACAGACACATTATGGCTAGCTGAACAGAGCTGACAAAAGAGAACTAAACAGACTGACAAAAGGGACTAGAACAATTACCTGTGGCAAGTTTGTACTTGTAACATTCTAACCAGTCTTTCAAGAAAAATTGGCAGGTTTAACAAAAGAATGTAAATTGAACAAAGTTTTTTTCATAAAGCACAAAAATGAAGCAGATTAAATACTAACTGTTTATTAAAAAACATTAGCTCTTTCAGAATGCCACAGAAATGACTGATGTAACTTTGACAGGATCTAACCCAATTTTCGGCATTCAACAGTAGCTAACTTTCACAGTCAGCAGGATAATAGACAAGTACCAAATATTTTTTATAAGAGAATAAATCCCACAATTCTTAATTATTAAATATTTACAGTTTTACACACATATAAATATAGCAATATCTGTTTCTATAGAATAAAACCCATAATTCTTAATGATTAATATTTATAGTTTTAGTTTTTTTTTTTTAATTCAATCTAACTGGCAAAATCCCTATTTAAATTAACACTATGATAAAAAAAATCTGTTCCTGAAAATAAAAGAATTATTTCAAACATAAAAAGAGAAAGCAAGCAAATGAAGGTTCTTCAGATTGCAAATGCTAACTGAAATGGCAAAATCAATGCAAACTCAACATCAAATTAAAAAAAAAAAAAAAAAAAAAAAAAAGCAACTTAAGCTTACCTTCATAAAAGCTTCATCTACGCAAAATAAATATGCAAATAAAATAGGCAGCAGTAGATAATCTAAAAATGCAAATTAGGTTCAAGTGCTAAAGACTTCCTTTTTCTTCTTCCTGAAATTTTGCAAATAGCTATCCCATTTACAAAAATATGAATGCTTGACTCGTTTCATAATACAAATGAGATGTTTGCTATCTATAACCATTGTTGAAATATTATAATCTTCTGAAACAATCTGAAAATAAGAAATCCTATTAATTAGTTAGGTAAATATATTTCTGCTCGTTACATTAATTCAAGAAAAAGAATAGAAAAATTTTCATCTACTTCCCTTGCAATGAAAATTCCATAAACTAATAGTAAACAAAAGGCAAATTAAATTTTAGCAACTTAATAATTTATTTTATGAAAACACATCTTTCAAATTAATCACATACAAAGTACTCTCTCCAACAAAAATATACAACAAACAATTTGCTAGGTAGCACTCAAGTAATAATTCTTTGGCAGGAGTATGATACACATTTTACTAAGTATACAGAAATGCAAATGTTTACAAAAACTATCAAATATATTGTAGATTATATCAGTTATAAAAAAATCACAAATTGTTAAAAAGATAAAAATTATAAGTATAAATTGTTTTCAAATCATCTGATTTGCAACATTATAAGCACTAGGCTCTTAGTTAAAAACATAAAATGATCTGACAATGCATGATTTGTAACAGCTCTTGGATAACTGCTAAGATATTCATCAATGGAAAATGTAATGTTTTTGACAATGAGATAAAAAAGTGAAAAACACAACCAATATTATCATAGAAACATTATTAATGATCATTCCAATATATCACTACTACCATATAAATAATGGATAGTTCTACGTAGCATATTATAGATAATTCTATTGCTGATTCATAATACATGCAACAAAGTGGAAATGTACAATCACAATGACCTTCACAGAAATGGCTACTTTTTACAGCATTTTGAAGCCAAAGTTTTCTATTTGTACTTGTTCAGTTGTTTCTTAGGACATCATCAGAACAGGATCGGGATTTATTAGATTATTGCTAAACACGTGAGGGCTACCTAAGAGATGAAATACCTTTATGCAAAACGTTCCAAGAAAAATTGAATGTATTCACATTACATATAAACTCCTATATAGCCAGCTTCTTTGCCAAAATTTGAATACCTCGCAATAATAATTGCATCAGGCAAAAGTAGTTGCCAGTTTTAAGAGGGAAATAACTTTTATTTCTATGTTAAAACTATTTTACAGTAGATTAAAGTGCATGAAATAATACACAGTTTTACTGGAATAAATAGATCTTATCTAAATAATCTTTGAGCTTCTTTTATTATTATATTTTTTTATCTGAGCAAAAATTTTTATGGTGATATAGTAAAGTGACCACACGTCCCGATTTTGGCGGGACAGTTCCGCTTTTCAGAGGACTATCCCGCGTCCCGCCGATTTTTAAAAATGTCCCGCTTTTTAGAAAACATCTGCCTTTCTTATTTTAAATGTACTGTAAAAATATATTACCAATTATTTATTAATTATTATAGTGAATATAAAGACATTAAAAAAAACACAAAATGCATGCAGAGTAAACTAAATTAGGCGATGTAACGAGTTATATTTACTCGGTGGTGTTAGCTGAAGGGCTATTTGCTTTCCACACCATAAACCACAATCAAAATTTCAGATCAATTGATTGTACGTCGCAAATGATAAAAACATAGTACGACAAAAAATTTGCACATGCAAGGACAAAAACAGAAGCAATTATTTGTAATGTTTTTTCACCATATTCATTTTCACAATTGCAGAAAGAATTAGATAAATGCACCTTTCGGTATTGCAGTCAGGCTCCCCTAACCACTATACTGTCTGGGCAGCTGCCGGGTGAAACTTCATAAATAATTTTTGATTCGATAAGTACTATATCAGAAAAGAATAATTTGAACAATAAAATTATTGCCTATTGTGAAACAATTTTATTGTTGACACTAATGCAAATTTTGCTGGAAAAGCTAGAAGAAGCATCAATAACATTTTTACGAAACTTAACGAACGTTTGAACCAAAAACTTATTCGAGTAGGTTGTGGCAGCGCACATTCTACACAATACTATTCAAAAAGCATCTGACTCACTTCCAGTGGATGTTGAAAATATTTCAAAAATTTAATCATATTTTTATATATATACTGTGCATGTCGAAAGTTTGAAGAATTTTTGTGAAAGTGCAGAAATCGAATATAAAAGAATTACTGGTTACAGCAAAACACGATTGCTAGCTCTTTTACCAGATGTAGAAAATATTTTTAAAATATACGAACCATTAAAATCATACTTTTTATCACAAGATAAATGTCCAAGAATATTGCAGCTGTTTTTTGAAAATAACACATCACAAATTTGTCTTCAGTTCATCCACAACCAAGCTACATTATTCCTCAATGCTGTGAAAATTATTGAAGGGGACAAAATTTCAATTACAGAAGTGTCAAATGAAATGAATAATTTAAAAACAAAATTGCTAGAAAGAATTGATAATGATTATGTTCCTTTTCTTATTCAAAAGGACATCATTAGGTTGAAAGAACAAGGTGCCATATTAAATGACTTCATTTACTGAAAGTCAGAAATTTTTATAATAACTGCTTGGAATATCTAGATGAACGGACAGTTCAATTCGAGGATATTAAAAACTTCCATTGGGTGACTTAATGTCACCCAATTTGAAAAGGAGATTTTATGGGAATATGTGAAAAAATCATTTCAATATATTAGTAACTATTTTCTGAAAAATAATATTTGCGAAAATGATCTTTTTGATGATGTATCACTGGTAAAAAGATGCGTTACTGATGAAAAAATTAAATGTTGGTTGTCTGCAAATGTGGAAACACAAAAAATGGATGGAGATATTCCTTCATTTTAAATAGAATAATATCCCTTATGAATATATTTTGAAAACTGTAGAACACACGCTGTCCCTTCCAGGAACAAAAGCGGCCCACCAGTGGCCGAGCGGTAAAGTCGCTGAACACTGGTAGTTCGGTCCGAGGTTCGAATCCCGCGAACAGGCTGGCTGCATGGGCGTTTTCATGGTTTTTCCCATGTGTAATGTGTATATGAGCCAGTTTCTTAGAAAGTCCTCCACGAGGCATCCCCCCTTAGGCAGATAGCCTCGATTTTTTGCCATAATCACACACACACACCACACCCAGAACAAAAGCAAAAGCAAAGAAGTGTTTTTTTTTATAGTATCAATAAAATAGGACAATTGAAAAAAAACGCAGTTGAACATTAAAAACTTTGAATCTGTATAAGCTACAAAATATAATTTGATCAATTCATGGAAAATTAAAGAACATTTTAATTATAATCAAATCTATTGCAAAGTATTCATCGGATTTAAAAAATATAACCGTGAAAGAAATTCATAATTTTTTTAATAAAAAATTAAAAACATAATATTCAAATTATGTTTTTTTACAAATATTTTTATATTACAAATTGTTAATAAAAATATTTTTGTATATTATAGACAAGTATGAATGTATTAATAAAATATATTTTGAAGAATGGTCTGCTTTCATAACTAAATTATAATTCTCATTTCATTCCATTTGTCCTGCTTTGTTTCAATGAAAATGTGGTCACTTTATGATATAGGCTATTAATTGTTAAAAATATGGCTCAGTTTTGGCCTAAGATAAAATGCTAGCTGTAATTGCAAAGAAGTTGACAAAGTACATAGTTTGTAAAAATTGTTGCATCATTTTGTCTTTGTAATTAGTAGTAGTACACAATTTGCTATTGCTTCAGAAGATATAGTCTACTTTTTATATCTTCCATCTCGCATAACACTGATATACAGTACAAAATCTGTAATCTGGACTCTTCAGGACTTCGGCGATTCCGGATTAGAGGTTTTACCGGATTATAGATCATCAATTTAAATCTGGTAAGATGGCATGCAGAAATTATACAATTAAAAATATGAAATAGTAATCTATGAAATAAAGAACAATTATGATCTAAAGGGTATCAAATTTCCAAAAAAAGCTTCTAGTATTTGTTTATTTATTAAACTCTCTTTCAGCTGCACATGCGGCATGTATGTATGTAGCACTTCTTACACACATGCGTACAGCACAAAAAAAAAGTTGTGGCTTCGGGTCCAATTAGTTCTGGCTATATGGACGTCCGGATTACAGACTTTGTACTGTATAGCACACTTCTTACATTTCACATTGGCTGCACTGAAAATTTAATTTATTCCCAAATCTTTTTACACACTTATGTGCTCTGGACTGACCAATATTAAATCACTTATTCATTTCTCTTTGAAGGAAAGAATTTCCCACAGTAAGAAACTGATTTAATTTTCTTTCCTCATTTGAGTTTAGCAGCTGTTTTTAAGTGCATGTTTTTTCCCCCCTTATTTTTACGAGTTGTAAATGATATTTAAAATAACTAACGTAATCTAGACAGGTAAGAGAAAGAAAAAATATTTTCCCAATTTTTTAATATACTTTTTACTTAAAATACAATATTAAAAAAAAATGCCTCAAAAGACGGAAAATCTTGATTAAAACTTAATTCAGTTTTAAGCATAATATTTACGTTATGAATTTAAGAAAACACAGTTTTAAGCATAATATTTATGTTATGAATTTAAGAAAACAATCTATTTGCTAATAAAGATTTTTTAAAATTCTAATCATTTATTATATTATTAAATATTCTCACCACTGTGGAAGTACTAAATGTATCATCAATTAACCTGTAAAATATATAAGGAATCTTGCTTCTGAAAATGATCTGCCAAATAAATTATTCAAATATAAAGTAAGCACGAAGAAAATATCAAATGTATTCTGACAAAGAATCTGATCATAAATGGAATTGTTCATAGCTTTATCTAGCTGGATACTAGATGGCAGTTCTCTACAAAAATGAAAACAAAATGATTATTGTTAGAAGCTGAATGACTAAATGCATTAAATCCCAATACATTTCTTTTAACAGATCAAAAATTACAATTTCTAAGAAAAAGTAAATAATTTAGCTTTAGGTTTTAAAACTTTACATGAAGAAAAGCATGACACATTTATGACATTTTAGAAGCAATTCAACATAAGATACTGCACAGAAATGATTAAACTTGAATGGAAACAAATTCATGAATAATGAATGCTTGATGGTATCAGCACTGGCTAGAAGTTGTCAATAATTTTAAAGGATTTC